ACGGCCCAAGATGGCTCGAAGATGGCCCAAGGCAGCCCAAGAGGCCCCCAAGAGGTCTCCAAGACGGCCCCAAAGGCTCCCAAGAGGGCCCCCAGGAAGACCCGAAGAGGCCAACATCATTGATTTTCCCATGGCACTCGGGTTTTTGAAGGAGTTTGGCATTTGCTTTTTTTTGATCTTCCGACGGCCCGAGACGGCCCAAGAGTGCCCAGAGAGCGCCCAAAGGTCACCCCAAGATCGCCCAAGAGGCCTTCCGAGATGGCCCCAGAACGGCCCAAGGGGCTCTGAAAACGACCCCAAAAAGGCCCCAAAACGGCCCAGAAGGACAATCTGACGAGCGCGGCGAGTCTTGTTTGCCTCCTTCCTCCTTCGCCTGACAGTCCCGCCTTCCTCTCCTCAGCTCTCCCTCGCGCAAGTCACTTTTTCGGGGACGCAACCAGCGATGGGGCGCTGGCTGTCACGAGTGCCCATGATAACTATTGCATCAAACTTTACTATCCGTTGTCTTGCTCTTATCCCCCATCTCCCGTTTCGCTTGTGGCCGACGGCGCTCTGGGCGCGGCCGCGATTTCCTTCAACGCCCAGCTCGCGCAAGCTGACAGGATGGAGTTCGACGCCAGACAGCAACGCTGGCTGATCACTAGCGACCAGCGGGGCCTCTCTGACAAGCCGGACAAAGCCGCCAAGGCCGAGCTCTGGGAGCGCGCCAGCTTGGCCACCAGGGCCCACCTCTCGCTGGTGAGCGCGGAGGACGCCTGCGGCTGGCCACAGGCGCGGCCCTGCGCCGAGGTCGGCACGGCCTTCCCGCGCGGCTTGATGCAGATCGCTCTGCAGAAGCGCTTGCGGGTGCAGCTGGCGAGCGAGGAGGCCTTTTGCCCGGCCTGCGACGGCGCCATGGACGTCTACAGGGACCACGCTTGGGTGTGTCCCTGCCGCGGGGACCGAGTCAAGCGGCACAACGCACTCCGCGACAAAGACTTCTTCGCCGCGCAGGCAGCCGGCTTCTCTGGCGCCGAGCTCGAGCGGCCGAGCTTGCTGCAGCCCCGCGAGCGAGGGGAGGGCCCGCCAGGGACGGAGGCCAACGGCGGCGAGCTTGACGAGAGAGGCCGGCGCCCAGCGGATGTGTACATCCCCAGCTGGCGCAACAGCGTCCCAGCTGCGCTTGAGTTCGCGGTCACCTCTGGACTGCGGGGCGACCTCCTTGCAGCCTCGGCAGCTGCGCTGGGCGCCGCCGCCGAGCGCTACGAGGAACAAAAGCGCCAGTTCCTCGACACGGCGCGCAGCTGCAGCACGTCCGGCGTCACCTTCATCCCCATGGTGATGGAGGCGCACGGCGGCGCCTGGGGCAAGGAGGCTCGCCGCGCGCTCGCCGTCCTGGCGAAGCGCGTGGCTGACGCCGCAGGTGAGGACCCCGCCCTCGCGGCGGCGGAGCACGCCCAGCGACTCTCGCTACTCCTGCACAAAGAGAGTGCGCTCGCCGTGCTCCGCCAGCTGCAGGCCCCAGACAGGGCGCCGGCACCCCGGCTGGCCGCGGCGACGGCGGCGCGGGCGGCAGACGCCGCGTAGGGCGCCAGCCGGCGACCACCGCCCCCGCCTTCCGCCCCCCGCCCCCGGCCGACGCTGGCCACCCCGCCGCCCTCGCCGCCCTAGCCCGCGCCTGGCCGCCAGCGACGACCGCCGCCCCCGCCCCGAGCCCCCGCGCTTGGCCGACGACGACGATAAGCTCACCGCCTCCGACGACTTCCCCGCCGCCGCCAATGCACCCGCCCCCCGCACTTCCACCGACGACGACCGCCCTGCTGCCGCTACCCGCGCCGACGAAGATCCCGACCGCCGCCGACGCCGCCCCCCGCCCCCCGCCCCTCCCGCGTCGACTTGCCTGCGTGCTTGTTTGCTTGCTGCTTCCTCTCCTCCTGCTGCTTCTGCTGCTGCTCCTCCTCGTCCTCCCTCCTAGTGGCGGGCGTCTGACGGTGTCCCTCGGCTGGTCGGCCGTGCAGGGCTCTCTCCAGTTTTGCGCGCGTGGCGCAGTTCAAGTGGCTGGTCACTGCTGTGGGCACTCGCTGATGATCGCCCGCGGCTCGCCATGGAGGGTTCCTGCGTCTGGCTGCGTGCACATCGTAGCTGGTGCTCACTTGTGTCCAAACATGCTCTTGGTCCAGCGAGCGCTGCATCTCGCGCACGGATGGGACACGAAATTCCAGATCTGATAACAGAAGTTATGGCCCCCCAAACGGCCCTGGAGCCACCCAAGAGGGCCCCGAAGTCGGCCCAGAGAGGCCCCCAAGACGGCTTCCGACGGGCCAGGAATGCCCAGAGACGGCCAAATAAGGCCTTCAAAGGCCCCCAAGAGGCCCAAAGAGGCCCCCAAGATGCCTCCAAAAGGCTCCCAGGAAGCTCCAAAGAGGCCCCAAGAGTGCCCCGAGAGCCTCCCAAGATGCCCCCTCCTCCTTCTCCTCCTCCTCCTCCTCCTCCTTCTGATATTCCCCGTCATCCTCCCCCAAATGTTCCCCGAAGGGTTTCCACAACGGCTGGGGGAGCACATAGTCCGATAGCTTGGCAGAGCTCTTGCCACAAACGCTCGGCCACATGGGCGATTCCAAAAGGCTGGGGGCGGCGGTGATTCGCCGTAGGAGTCTTCGATATTGCAGATTCCTTGCCCGCGCTTATGTACTGAAGCCGCAGGACAACCACATAATCTCGATCAGAACCCACATTTTCATACCGCCAATCATCCGCGTGATCCAGCATGCGCCCGCAACACGAATCCGCATCGAATCATACCATTCGGGCCACTGGCGCACGCCGCCGTGTGCGCGCGTGCGTCGAAATCGTTCCCAAACCAGTGGTTTCCGAAACACTTCAAACATAGAACCTTCAAATATATATGAACGCACCAAATGCCTATAAACAGAAGTTCGCCCAACTTCTTGCATTTCTGCTCGCGCATTTCCTCACCATCGCCCTCATCAGCGCCGCCACATCGCCGCCGTTATCGTCATCGCCAATCGCCGCCATTGCCGCCATCACCGGTCAATGATTTTCATCACCGACGGACATCATCATCGTCATCGTCGTTATCGCCATCGGCACTGTCATTGGCCTTGCCGTCGTCATCGTCATTATTGCCAGCACACCTTTGCCGCCGTCGTCGAGTTCATCACGATATCGCGCCCGCCAAAATCACCGAACCGCACTGAAAAGTCCGCGCGCCGGCGCGGCCTTTGAGACGCGCTGTGGGGTTTCCACTGGTAATCCCCATCGCGATCGGATTGGTTGTGCCAAACCAGATGGCCACTCTGCGCGCGAGCTTGCGCGCGCCAGCGCAGCCGCAGAGATGCGCCAGTCAGTGCGAAGTAGTCACCATGGGTTGTGCCCACCAGGTTGTGGGTGGCAGGGTAGGATGATTGCGCGAGCACTATAATAAGGACTTCAAGATCTGCACGGTGCGTTGCACTATGACGCCAGAGAAAAAAAAACAATCATAATCTTTTTAGGGCTATCGGGCTATGGGGCTATAGAGCTATGGGCTATAGGGTTATAAGGCTATGAGGCTATAGGGCTATAGGGCTATAGGGCTATAAGGCTACAGGGCTATAGGGCTATGGGGCTATAGGGCTATAGGGCTATAGGGCTATTAGGGCTATAGGGCTATAGGGCTATCGGGCTATGCTATAGGGCTATAGGGCTACAGGGCTTTAAGGCTGTAAGGCTACAAGGCTACAGGGCTACAGGGCTACAGGGCTATAGGGCTATAGGGTATAGTGCTATAGGGTTAAAGGGCTATAGGGCTATAAGGCTATAAGGCTGTAGTGCTATAGGGCCATAGGGCTACTGGGCACCCAGGCACCTCGGGGCACCCCCGGGCACCAGGGCACCCAGGCACCCCGGGGCACCCGGGCACCCGGGCACCGGCACCCGGGCACCCGGGCACCCGGGCCGGCCACCGAAATCGGCGGCGCACCTGACCTAATCATATGAATCCGCCAGGACCCCTACAGAGGCAAGCTCTGTTTGGGGAACATAGATGGCACCTCGTAGCTGATGCCACATATCTCGTACCACATAGCTGCTACAAAGCTCTCACCACATAGTTGCACCACATATATTGCGGCACATAGCTTTCGCCTCAAAGCTAACACCACGCAGGCCACACTACATCACTTACACATCCACAGTGCAACATCTAACTGTATGTGGTCCACGCTGGTAAACATAACCTTTCCCCGTGAGATTCTTGAGCTGGGGCTTATCAAATGGAGCAACGTTCGTCTACTAGCTGAACGTGCTAGCGTGGTTGTCTATCTGGGCTGAAGCGAAAGGGGTGAGGAGGAGGAGGAGGAGGAGGAGGAGGAGGAGGAGGAGGAGGAGGAGGAGGAGGAGGAGGAGGAGGAGGGGGTTGAGGAGCCCATGCCGCCTCACCTTCACAACGCTTTGTGAACTTCTCTCTGGGTGCATGTCATCCTTGCACAGGGACAGCGCTAATATTCTATATTTCGCTCCAACTGTCTTTGTGCCGTTCCAATTTTAGTAATGAGGAAGAGAAGCAGAAGAGGTTCATGGCGGCATGCTATGAAAATGAACGGGGCAAGCCATTGACTCCATCGATGGTTCGACTCATTGTGTGGTGTCCTCCGTTTTGAAAACGGAAACGAACTCGCCAGCGATGTCAGCCGTGTTGATTGGGATCTTAGCCGATGCCTCGTTGCTCTATCGGATGACGCTGGCGCCGTCCATGCTGGGGTGCTCGAGCTTGGCTGTCGCATGGTTATGCATAATATGTGTCCTTTGCGTCGGGCCTCGCCAAATGAGCAGCGGGTAGTGCTGCTGGCAAAGCGATAGAAGCTGCTTGGGCTGGGCTTCAGTTGGATGCGCTTGAGATTCTTGTCGGGGGAGGAGGAACAAGAAGAGACGGGAGGATGAAGAGGAAGGGAGGGAGGGAGGGAAGGAGGAGGAGCCCCCTGCTCGTCCTCTCCCCTCCGCTGCCCGAGGCCCTCCCGCGCCTGGCACTGGATCTCCTCGTACCGGGGCACCTCGTTGAACAATCGCCTCTGCCTGCGCTTGTGCTCGACCACCCACGTCTCGCCGGCGACCCGCTCGAAGCCGTCCACGCACCCCGACAGGACGAACGACTTGAGCCCCAATCCAAAATGATGACGAAATACCTTCTGATTGCGCTGCGTTACACTGCGGCCGAACTTGTGCTCGTATGCGTCGATCCCGGTGCGCTCCATATTCGTGCCGCGCGAGCGCTGGGCGCGGCCCAGCGCCTCCTCCGACACGGCCTTCCAGAGGTGCTCCGGCGCAGAGGCCTTGACAGCCTCGACGATCGCCCTCTTCGCGCTCAGTGGAATCGCGCCGCTTCCGGACGTCACGGCCGCCTGAACCGCGGCGTGGACTGGCCTTGTAGCGTGTTTGGCGTAGGTCGTCTCGGGCAGCGCCACTCCCCCCGTCCGCCGCATCCACGACCGCAGCGTCGCGGCGCTGTAGCGCCTCCAGCAGCGCACGAGCGCGTGCAGTGCCTGGGCGCAGGGGGGAAGGCGCGGGCGCGCGACCCGCACATGTGTGACACAATGGGGCTTTCCATGTACCCGTTAGGGCTTTCTGTGCACCCCCCGCTGGGGCTTTCCCTGACTCGATGGGTTTCGTGTGGCCGATTGATTGAATGCAGTGTAAAAGCCTCAAATGTATGCAGAAAATCCCAGTGTGTCACAGGAAGACCTTCTCTCAGGCTGGATCGCAACGGCTCGAGACCTGGGAGGAGTTGGAGCTGGACGGGCCACGAGGGAGTAGCGCCGTGGGGTCGGGAGATGGCAGAAAAAAGAAAATTGCCGCCCCCCCCAGGATCTAACCAGGCTGCCTGCTTGCGAGCCTGCCTGCACAGTGACACCGCGCGCACCGATTTGGGGCTGGTTCGCGCGGGCGAGGGTACAAGCAGCCGCGGCTGGTGCGCGCGGCAAGTACGTACCGCTCGCGCCAACAGTTGTGCCTTCGAGTTTGAAGGACGGCGGACGCCGACCGCGCGCGAGGAGCAGCGGTACCTGAGGAGGACCAGGCCAACCGCCCTCGCACCCAGAACCGCACCTCCCTCTTGTGAGGTTTTGAGATCAGTGGAATTGCACGGTCGGCGTCTGTAGAGCCTTATCGAGGAAGGTGATGCAGAATTCGTTGTGCTCCGAGTGTTCTGGCTCCCCCTTGAGCCCCAGCCCCACCAAAGGTCTTATGTTGCCAAAGGTTTCCGCATTGCGCATTGAACTCGCACGCTTGGGTTTCATGAGCCCTACTGGGTTTGCCCGAGATGTCGCAGCAGGGCTAAAGACGGGAACGGCCACTTAAGGGAACTCGGAAAGGAGTGTAAGTGCGAGAGGAGCGAGCCCCCCACTACAATTGGGAGGGTCCTCCAACGCTCGGCTGAAGGGCGGCCACTCAATCGAGGACCCCCCGAGGTAGAAGTAGCGCTTCCCGACGGAATGGGGGCAGAGTAGATTTGGCCTCAAGATCCCAAAGCATCGACGATACATCGGCGACGTCGGCACCAGAGAAAATCAGGTCCCAAGCTCGGGCCGCAATGCGATCTGCGAGCCCCTCACTGAGGAGGCCCGGAACCGAGGACAACCATGAGGAGTCCTGTTCAAGGACCAGAGCTGACCCCAACGCCAGCGCGTATGAGGAGATGAACCAATCTCGGCCGGGCGGGCCCCACGAGCCGAGTCCAGGTCTCGGACCCGCGACCCGCCCGTGGGCCCTCCCGAGGGCTTCCGCCAAGAGACGCTCCTCTGCCTCGGAAGCCCCCGCGCCCCTCCGCGGAGCTCCAGGCCGGGGGGAGGAGGAGAAGGACGAGGAGGAGGAGGAGGAGAAGGAGGAGGAGGAGGAGGAGGAGAAGGAGGAGGAGGAGGAGGAGCGGCGAGCGAAGGAGCGGGCGTCGGTCAGGATGAGGAGGAGGCGGAGGAGGAGGAGAAGGAGGAAGAGGAGGCGGAGGAGGAGGGGGAGGGAGCTCCTCTCGGGATAGGGCCCGTTTGTCTCGATGTAGGATCGCCAGTCCGATGCGGTGTTGATTTGGGCTTCCCTGGCCTGGTTGTGCTGGTGCAGGCCGATGAGGGCGGCGATCTCGCTGACATTGAAGCACGGTCTCCTCCACCAGGAGCAGGCGCGAAACGGATGGGGACTTGGATTCGGCATCGGCTTTTCCTCCTTCTCCTCCTCCTCCTCCTCATCCTTATCTTTATGATCCCCACCACCGCCATCGGCATCACCATCACCATCAAAATAATCACCACCACCATCGTCATCACCGTCATCATCATCATCATCATCATCATTATCATCATCATCATCATCATCATCATCATCATCATGATCATGATCATCATCATCATCATCACCAGCAACATCATCATTCACATCATTATCATCACCACCGTCATCATCATCATCATCATCATCGTCATCATCATCATTATCATCATAATCACCACCATCACCATCGTCACAATCACAATAACC